GTTGGCTAAAATCTAAGGACTCCCTGTGACTCCAAGGGCTTCACACACACACACAATTAAGAAGTGCGTACTGAACTGAATGCCACATGCCACATGCCCAACAGGTGAGAGGTAAGTAAGGCAGTTTGAAATACTCAAGCCTCAAAGAAATGGAGTGGAGTCCAACCACGAAAGTTCAGAAGCTGAGTCGCCAATGCACTAGCCCTTTACTGCACTAGACGATTACTGCAAAACAAAGAATGAGACAGCTTTTGCCTTATGTGCCTTATGTAGGTTCATCTCAGGTACAGGAAGGTGATCAGCCTTTCCTTCCCATCCAAGACCGTAGCTTCGTTGCACACGGTCGGTCATGGATGCCGTGTGCCCCTGCTTCAAAACAAGAAATTCAACGGAATCCCAGTGACTTGGTCCAAGGGTTTCACACACACTGGGGAATCACACACACCCGTCGGTCAAAAGGGTGACGTGGGGAAGACATGCCTGCTCTTCCTAGACCCTAGAAGTCCAAAGACTATTTTTGGCACCACAAGTAAAGGAAATTCCTTTTCGGAACACCTCAAGAGCCTTTTTCATGGTCTTAGACTCCCAGGGTAGATGTACCCCTGCCCCTCCTCCCCCTTAACTGCGCATAGCGCATGTCATAGGGGAACGCGATAATACTTCAGACACGACCTACTCTACGCCTCATGGAGATGGGCGATGGCTTGAATTATATGGAAGAATCTGGCCAGAACGGGTCCCTGGATTGGCCCAGTTCCCTTGCCATGTTGTCCTGAACTGCTTGCCATGGTGCTTGCCATAGATGGACAGTTACTCAATAGCCAATGTAGACTCTTGATGTAATAAACCCTTCAAGAAGAGGTGTTTCAATCAAAATATCAAGTTATCATGGAAAATCTGTCCAACCACCACGTCCGACGACCTGACGCATGGGTTTTTATCCGGGCAACGACGCCTGCAGCCTCTCCGTCTGGGCTGGGGTCCTGGGAACGGTCGAGCAAAAGGGGAAGCCATATGGTTCTCATTTGAGACCGGTCAAGGCTTGATTTCTGCACCCCAAACTTGCAAAGTTGAATAGCTCTTGCATCGAAATGACCTATCCCCAGTCGACTGGTAGGACAACTGGGTCCGGGCGACTGGCGATTTATACCCCGGGCCCGGTGTGTTGTGGTGATTCATTGCGTCATTGTTTGTTGACTAGCGGGAAGACTACATAAGTCTGGCCACTGGAGGGAACACTAGGTCGGGCCGCTTGCCGGATATGCTGTGATTATGTTGGGTTGTGTTGTCAGTGTCGTGGTTTGTTGTCTGTTGTTGTGTTTGTCATTGCACTGGCTCACAACGCGCCAGCAGACTTCACAATTCTCTGAAGATTACAGTCGTGACCCCCAAAAGGTACGCTACTTTGGCATGGCTCCTTCCTGCTCGAAATTGATCCCCGGGCGTCGCACAAAAGATACGCTAGGTTGGAATGGCTCTAAATTGGAGCTTCGAGTGGCCCACAATGCCCCTAAGATTTACCGGTGGCTTACAAAAGGTATTCTGCGTTGGAATGGACCCTACCTCCTCCAAATTTTACCCTCGGGTGGCCCACAAGGTGAACTACCTTGTAATGGCTCCTTCTAAGTTTTCCTGGTCTGGCCCACAAAGGGTATGCTACGTTGGAAGGGCTCTCAAGATGTTACCCTTTGGCGGCCCACAAATGGTATGTTACGTTGGAATGGCCTCTCTGAATCTTACCCTCCTCCTCTAAGTTTTTCTTTCGAGTGGCCCACAACAGGCATGGCTCCTGCGTGGCTCATCCTGCACACCATAAACCAGCATGTCTGACACGCCAATGTCCGATACCACACCAATGCCCTACGCTAGGGAGGCCACGGATTCGGAAACTAGGGAGGGCGCGGATTCGGAAACTAGGACCTAGAGAACACGGATTCCCACTGTTTGCAACTTCAATGGAGCATCGTGCACCCCAGACCGTTTTCGACCCTCACCCGTGCCCACTGTTTGCAACTCGAAAGGAACGTCAACACCACACCACACCACACCACGCAACCCATGCCCACTGTTTGCAACTTCAAAGGAACGTCAACCCAACCCTGTACAGTAGTTTCTAAATCTGGACAATTTCTGAATGGGGCCACCCTGTAGTTGCTGAATCGGAATATACCCACGCTTCTGAATCGGAGCTAGTTTCTGAATCGTCTTCTGTCCCACGTCCTCCCATCCCGCCTCAAAAGCATCCTCCACAGTCGCAGAGGCCAAGTCCAAACGGGACTTCCAGGTATCCAAGGCCTTCTCAAGGGCCTCAGCTCAGCAGAGCAGCACTTCGGCCCGAGTTCTATTTTTGCAGGTGAATTGGGCTCCGCCAACACCTGCGGCGGATTCAGGCCCCTTTCCAGGGTCTGGCATTGGTTTTCCAGCTTCAAAGGAATCGATCAACTCGACATCTCCACCCAAAAGTGAGGCTTCCTTAACAGATTTGAGACGCCGGTCGACGGTCATCACGAGTCTCTTTCCTTGACCCGAAGAAACCGGTCATCACATGTCATGTGTCATCGTCTTCCAAACAGACCGGTCCAATCACTCCCAAAAGCCCCTCCCAGTGTAGCACTGCACTGAGAGGAGGTCGGGACGCACCCATTCTGCCCCGACCATTTTCCCCTCTGTTGTTCCCGAGGATGGTCTGGACAATGTGTTCCAGACCATGAGGGGCTCCGAAGGACTTGCATTGAGACTGCAAGTGTAGATGGCTTCTGAAAATGAGGCTGACTGGAACCACGAGCCTGGCCTCGGTCTCCTGGTGAGACTCCGTCCAAGACCACCGTGAGCTGGATCTCCCATTCATCCTGGAGAGACGCCCGACACACGCAGGCGGGGGAGGCAGGCTTGAGGGGAGGCTGAGATCCTCAGGTATATAGAAGCATCCAGACCGGAGAGGGCGATGTCGGCTCCAGGATGCAAAAGGTCCAAAAGAAAGAAAGGTTGGTGTTTGTGGATAGAATCTCTCTTGGAATATATATTCTGCATGGGATGACATGTCCTTGGGTCAAATCTCAACCTTCCAAAAAAAATCAGTTCTGCGCAGGATGTTTCACTCCGCCACAAGCATCTTAGATGAGGATCATGATAACACAAATCCCTCGAGCAGTCTTGGCTTACAGTAGGGTGTCCAATAAATAATGCGTTGTGCTTTGCCAATTGCAAACAATGTGCGGAATGGATACGTTAAGAGACTGTTCACCGATGCCAGGATTTTGGGGTGCTGAGTCTGGAACATCAAGATGCAAGCCACTCGTCAGAAATTCTTTACACTCGGGAGCATCTCAACACCAGAAAGTGAACCTGAAAAGCTGCAAAACGCAAGCCAGCGCTTTTTGTCAACGAGTAAAGCCAGCTACAATTCTGTTGCCAGGTATCGCACTTACACTTCAATTTTCCTACCTGGGTCCGCGCGCGCGCGCCTTGCTGGCTCCCGGCTGCCCCAGATCTAGGCGCGCGCGCGCGCGCGGACCCAGGGCAGCTACAAGGCAGTTGCCAGGTATACCCAGGGTAGCTACAATTCAGTTGCCAAGTATAGCACTTCAAGCAATCGAAGACAATTGCATTTCTTCAAGCCACAAAAAAGCACCTCCAAAACCTTGCTTCCGTGCACCCCTACACGGTATAGATACCCAGGGTAGCTACAATTCAGTTACCAGGTATAGTACTTCGAGTTCCCTTTCCGTCAGCCGCTCGATAACCTCTACACACGTGCAGCAATCCACAGCTTTGAAGTCTCATTCGTGTTTTGAACTTATGTGGAAAAGGTATAGCAACATGGCACTTATACGGACCCAGGGTAGCTACAACTCAGTTGCCAGGTATAGCACTTCAATTTCCCTTTCCGTTAGCCGCTAGATAGCCTTGAGAAATGTGCAGCAATCCACGGACTTGAAGACTCATTAGTGATGTGACCTTATATCGGTGTGGTGTGTAAGAAGGTTATGCATTCACATCTGCACGAAGCTACAACACATCGGCCTCTGTAAAACTACACCTTACCATTCAGATGATGCAAATGGTGCAAATTGCATTTCTTGCATCACCACCCCCTCAAAAATCACCTCCAACACAACCTCAAAAACCTTACTTCCGCACACCCCTCTCCCCCACCTAATTTCGAGTTTACGTGGTACTTACTCAGCTGGCGCCTTCTACGAAGGCTGGCTTTCGTAACCAAACGTTCAAAAAAAAAAACTATATAAAAATAAACATCCCGTCCCCCCCATCGCTCCCGGGGTGCAGCTGATCTTTGATCCACTGCGGGATCTTCTCTGGAAGGAACAAGTTCTCCAATGAGATCCCTGGCGGAGCGTGGAACCGCTCGATCTGGCGGTCCACCAGAATGGAGTCGGTCGTCCTAAATACGGAACCATGCCATCCACGGTCCACCATGTAGTGTGTTCGGAAAAGAGTGCAGACTTCCGAAGTCCGTCCAGACTTACGAAGTCGATTCAGATTTCCGAAGTCGGTCCTCTGCTGAAGTCCGGTTTGGGTGAGGTTTTGATCAGTTTTTGCAGGGCGGAGGCCCCAACACTTGGATCAGAGCGAGTTTCTTTCGACTCCTACGACCAGGAGTCAGTTGGGTGGATTGGGGGCCCACTCCAGAGAATCCTCTCCATGAGACACCCGATGCAACTGCTGGTTTTCTGTTCATCATCTTCTTGGTTCATGCCTCGACCTCAACAAGGCATGAACATGCCATGTCCCATTCCACCTCCAAATCTTCCTGGCAGAATGGGAGGCTTCGTTCGCGTCTGGGAGGCTTCGTCCCTCGACACCCCACCGGAACAACCCCATCTCGTCTCACCTGCTAAGGCATCTTCAAGGTGCCGTTCCTGTCGCTACACTCCGGTGCGACCGATTGGTCGACCGAGCAGTCGAAACCGGAGCTGCTTGTCAGACCAGGCCGCGCGGACGAGAAGGGCTCTGGGACTTGGACAAAACAAAAAAAAACCTTACTGCCTATAAAACAACCAGACAACCAGCGGAAATGTCCAGGATCCGAAAAAGCTTGGTGGGCGCCAATCGTTTCTCCGCGTCGTTGGTCCCCCGCGCTCCTCTGTGGCCACAGGTAGATCGAAGGTCTCGCCCCACTCGGGGTCCAAGTGCCTGACCTTCACGCTACTCACCTGGCGCCGTCCGGGGCAGTCTGGTGGTCCGGTCGGTTCGGCGATTTCGCCATGAAGAGCGGGAAGGGGCAGAAGCAGAAGCAGACTCGAACACCCCAAAATAACATGCACTAGGTCACTAACCTATCCTAAACCTTCCTGTTAGGGGTGTCCTTGACATAGGGAGGCAGTCGATTGGTGACCCTTAGTATAAGGCCAAGGTCGTGGTGATCATTTGCTTTGTCGGTGGTCCTCTGTATAGTTCCGCTCTTGCTCGTTCCGCGTGACACGCGTTCCCATGATCCAGGATTGAAATCGCACTCTCACGAGCAGTGCGAAGGGAGAAAAAAGAAACACGTGCCAAGGGCACCCAGTCCCAGCCACCCAATCACGCTCCCGGAAGACCCTCGTGTCCAGCTCGCGGGTTTGGAGGCTTGGGGTGGACCAAGCCGGTTCTGCAATCGACGCTACTGCACATGACGTAGTGCACATGAAAATGTGGATATCCCTGAAAGTGAGAGACTATGAAAAGAATATTGTCTTTAGGGGACCTGAAAGATAAACGCTACTACGCAAATTCATATTTACTTGAGAGTCAAAGACTACAAAGAAAATCGTCTTTAGGGGACCTGAAGAGGGAACTCCTTTTACTTTAGTCACTAGTCGGTCAAAATATAGTCCTTGGACTCCTAGGTACCCATGTTCTTCCTCAACGAACAGACCAATATATCAATACATTGTACACTGTTTACATCCGTGACATTGACCACCCCTCATGTGAAGGTCTTCTTGTCCAAAACTGAGACCAAATGCCCAAATGATTCGAGAGTCATGTTGACATGTTCTCTATTTTAGGTGTCACCAGACCTCTGGCCTCAATCAAGTCTGTGAACTCCCACCAAATCCCTATGCCCTATGCCCTTGGCGACCCACCCGACCAATCCATGTTCCCAAGAGCCCACCGCACCTGGCGCAGGCACAAGAGCCCGTGCTCATCCTCCGCGCAGGCGGTGATCTCGCACATGGGATCGGAGGTGGTCCTGACCGGATGTGTCGATTAGGAAAGGCCAGGAATGTCAGAAACTATGAATTTGTAGATGAACTCCCAGGAGAGAAGCACAAAACAGCAAGCCCAATGGCGCCGAGTAGGTCAGCACCCGAACGAGGCGGAAAGTGAAGCGTCTGTCTCGCTCGCCCCTCCTGAGCTGCATCTTGTCTTGCCGCGGGAGATGTTGGGCTCGAATTAGGTGAACTCGCCAAGCCCCTGGCCGAGGCATCACTGCGCCAGCACCAGTGAAGGAGGGATAGTAATTAGTTGAATCTTGAAACGGGTAGGTAGGTGCTTCATTTAGGATGGCAATTGGATGAAATTAATGTAATTGGTCAGCTGGATCCAGCTAGTGCGCCATCGGGCCAGCGGGCCACTTGTGGAAAAGCAGCTTGCGGCTTGCGCTTTCAAACCGTCGCGCTTGAACAAACGATCCCAGTCTTCCCTCTCTCAGGTCCTGAATCGATCTGAAGAGCCACCTCTACTTCCCATCCCCCCGCCTTTCAGGCGCGAGGGCTGTGGAAAAGCTCTCCAGGTGATGGAGTAGGTCAGGGTCGCTGCCCCACGCCAGTAGTCCCCAACCACATGGTTGCGATCCTTCCAAGGCGCGAGGTTGCCAGAAAGGGAAAGTCTCCAGGGTGTTCTGCCAAGTGCCTTCTTCCTGTAACGTTCTTCCCAAAAGAACCACGCAAACGCCCAAGACAAAAAAAAAGACCTGAAAACCCTGCGCCCATCTGGGGTGGCACCTTCATCTTCCTCTTCCCGCCTTGGAGCTCAACTCCGCACAGACCTCTCCAGAGGTCTCCTCCACCGGCACCGAGAGCCGACCGATGAAGTCATTCCTCAGTTTGGTGAACAGCGAAGGTCATGTCGTCCTTTTGGAAAACGACAGCGGCCCAAAAGCTGCGGGAGGGGGGGTTGGACACACTTGGGTTTCTGGGAAGAGCAAGTCTGGCAGTCCTCTTGCGGATCAGCAGGGGTTCCATCGAGTTCCCCAAGCCAGCGGGGGTCCAAGCTCGTTCGGTCCCGGTCCCAGTCGTTTGGTCTCGGAACAGGTGGAGCCCAGGAGCTCGGACATGGAGTCGAAGTCGCAGACCTTCGGACTGGTGGACCACCCCACCGGGACGGCCTGGCCCAGCCTCGCCCCGGTGGGGACTCCCCAAAGCTAGTGGAACCGAGTCAAGTTGAGACGGATGCGATGCGGATCTGAGATCCGTCTCCATGGGCGATGGAGATGATGGAGTCCAAAAATGGTCCCAAATGATACCCCTAAGAGTCCGGTGTCATTTCTCCTTTGACCCTTGTCAGGTGGCGAAAGACGAGCCATGACGACAGGTCCAAACTTCTGGCAACCGTTCGGGAAACACACACGCACACACCGACGACCCTCGACGGAGGCGCCCCGCCTTGAAGGTCAGCAAGGACCACTTGCGACAGCTGAAGCGATGGTGATATGCCCTCGCTGCCTCCCAGGCCAGCCGATCGATGCCACCTCGACACGCTTGGGGCAATCGAAATCCGAACATCCCGTGTTGAACGACCCCGGTTTGGCACTACCTACAGATGGGGGTCGAAGGGTCCATAGGACTGTTCTGGTCATTCAGAGCCTCCAACATCTTTCTGTTCGAGCTTGATCTCTAGATTCCAGACCCTCAAAGGGTTACATAACCTTCACCACCTGGTCAAGAGAGTGTCTAACAGCAACACCCCGGCCCGTAAAAAACCGGCTTCCTGACTCCACCATCCGAGCATATCCGAGCGTCCCATGTAATAACGCCAGAACTCGATCCGGTCCAGCTGATCCTTTTCGCTCAGCTGCATGTGCCTGAGGGGACTGTGCAGGACTGTCATGGGGCTCAGCCTGGCAACCGAGAGTTTCTAAAGGTTTGGCAACCTAACAACGACATTTCCCATAAAAAAGAGATAAGGCTCCACTTAGCCAACCGAATCCTGCTGCGCGCGACCTTCCAGGGTCAGAACCTCTTGCTGTTGCTAACACTGTTGTACTCCCAACAAAAGGAATGAAGCTCCTGCTCTTGGGTTGAAGGACCAAAGCCTGCATCACATGCGCATGTCATGGCTACACCCGTCCCATGCAAGGATTGGGCCGCATCCAAGAATATCTTTCCAGTATATAATTATCTGTCTCGGTGATGCTGTCAAAAAAAATCCGACCCGCAAACACCAAAGCAGACACACCAAAGAAAACACACCAACCCTTAGACCAATCACACCAACCCGTTAGACGCTGGCTCTTGTGCCCGCATCTAAGCGTTTTTTGGTTGCCATCCTTCTTTCATCCGGCGCTCGGAGACACTAGATGTAGGCAAATCTAGCTGGGGAGCTGGATGCATCATGTTAAATAGCTTCTTGTGACTCGTCGGGCTCCCTCCCTCCCACCGTTCCGAACGCGATGGCCACCCACCGTTCCTCGCGTTCTGCCCACACCCGAGGCACTTTTGCATGGTGTTCAGCTCCGATCGTCCCCAATCGAAGATACACACCACCGTGGACTTCCGCACCTCCTGGAGCTACCGAGCCACCGCGCTCGCAGAGTTCGCCGAGAACGAGCCATGACGGCGGACGGTGGGGGCCTGGATCAACGCACCTCTGCGCACCTGCTCTCATGCATGACTTTGCTTTGTTTTGTGAAAATCACACGACATCACCCAGTTGCGCGACTTCTTGTCCATGGTTCCAAAGGCAAAAGTACTGGGTCTTCTCCAAGAAACTCTTTAGGTTAAGAAGGTGCCCAGGGTGCATTGTTTTGCCATACTTTGCAGCTCTTCCAACAAACCTTCTGCCCTGGGCGTAGATGGATCGTGAGATGGCTCGTCTGACCCGAACGTCGGTGTTCCCACCGTCGGTGCTCCCAGCTCCTCCTCTCCGTGCTCTCGCTTCGGCACATGGCCAGCGTCAAAGCCCAAACCCACCGAGCTTCCGATCCTCCACACCCGTTGGGTCGAGAGGGGAAGAAACGACGACAGACGTCGTTTCGTACCTCTGATTGGTTGAAGGGAACATCTAGGACCTAGGACACCATGCTTTTCACCCCCCAAAACTCTGGGTTTCCGGTCGATCTAGGAATGGTTCGGAACCTCGCTCCAGCGTTGTTCCTATCACCTATTGCATGCGGATCATGCGATTCGTCGATTTGGGGGTGCCCAAAAAAGGACCATCTCTTTCTCCTGTGCTCTTCGGGGTTGTGGTCCTCGCTGCGCGGGGACATCCTCGTTTCTCCGGACTCGCGGTGAACAACGCGACCACGACGCGACCAGTCTCTGAATCAACTTCTGGTTGGGTGAAAAGCCCTGCCAAGAGCAGGTCGGACTCCCCAATTCTCCCGACCTTCGCCGGCGCCACTGAGGGAGGTCTTTAGAAGCAGGAACCCCCCACAAAAAGAGCTTCACGTCCATGTTGGATCCCCCCGATGAAGTCCAAAGACTATATAGTGGCGAGATTCTATATTTCGACCAACTTTTTCCCAAAAAATTCAACAACGGACTTCTTTTCTGATCCTTCCCACTAGTTTTCCACACACAATGTCCACAGACATGTCCACTTCACCCATCCCACCGCCTCCGCACGTCACTGTTCCCCCCGGGCTCCCCGGCCACTTCTGCGGCACCGGCGATCGCCGGCAGGCTACCGCGAGGCCGTAGAGCCCCCGCACCGCCTGCGGCGAGCTGAAACAATTGCGTCAAAGCTGGTTCGAGCTGGTTGACCTGCAAGCTGAACACCTCAATCGTTCTTTCTGAGGGCTTTGTCACCAAAGTTGATGAAACCTGCAGAACCTGTAGATTTTTCCGAAGCAACTCCATGGTGCTCTCATGCCATGCTTATGCCATGCTTCTAATGTCCTCTCCAAACCCAGCGCCCACGAACCCAGTGACCCCTGAGTCGACGTTCGACTCGCGCCTCATGGCCGACCACTTCGGCCAGCTCCGTGGTGCAGAGCCGGCCCGGAAGTTCGTGATCTTCCACGTCGAGCCTGGGAGTTCTGCAAGCGCGGGGCCACGGAGCGCGGACGGCGAACAAGAGAGGAACAGAAGGATTCGGAGGCTGATGAACCTGTCGGACACTTCCCCCGGCAGCCGATTGACCATCTGGGGGCTCCCCTGTCCGTGCGAGAGGTGGGGGAGTGTGGTCTCGTGTGCGCACCAGAGGAGTTTGATTCTTTCACAAAGGTCTCATTATCCGCACCGGAGAGCATTGCACGAGGCACGTGCTGTGATGTTGAGGGTGGAATATTCCCAAGACTCCCGCTGCGGTCAGCGGGAATCTGTAACATTGGTGATTTTATTATACACATTCTCTCTAACAAGGCCATTCCTGCCAACACCCCGCCTTGTGCAGGACTCTTGTGGCCAATATAAATAAATAAATAAACAAATAAATAAATAAATACATCTGCTCATCATTCCAGTCCTGGCCATGCCCGCACCCCACCAAAAACTAGAAAACTACGTCCAAGGGTCGGTTCCTGGTGAAGATCCAGCCAGTGGAGCAGCATCCTTGGAGCTCAGAGCTACACCAGCTAGGGGCACCTGGGGACTGTGAGGCCAGGTGCTATCGAAAAGTGCCTGCTCCCACTAGAAGCTTCAAAACAATCGTGGTTTGAGCCTGGAAGACTCAGTGACACCCAAACTGTGTATGTCTTAGGCTTCAAAACAAGAAGTCGGGTCTCAAGATGTTGGAGTTCTATCTTCACTATGCACAGCCAAATGTAGCCGGTCGACTGTTATGATGAGGTTCCACGTCCCTCCAACATCATGCAGAAAAGCAAATCCTCACCTTTCAAGCCCGAAATCGGCTTGCAGCCACCCTGGCCAATTTTGGGCCCCGGTCATTGCTGTCGTGGACGACATCGCTTGATTCAGGGCTCCACGACTGACTCAGGGGAACGTAATATGACTCCACTGTGACTTATATAGGATTTGGGGAGACCTACAAGATCCTACCCAATCCTAACAACAAGGATCAACAAGGGAACCAAAATAGAAAGGGAGGCAGCTGGGGAATCATCCAAAGGAGTCCGTTCAAAAATCGTGCTCCCGAGCAGCTCCACGGCGGGCATCCGCTGCAGCATCACACGCAAGGCCTCAAAGGATCGCACGTTGCGAAAGGATGCGAAGACCATTAGTTCCACAAATCCTTACACCTCAAATGTAGACTGATAAATAGATCCCCCCATTTGGATGCACGAACTTGCGGACGATCCGCGACGCGCGCCCACCCACCCCCTTGCCAGGTTGTCTGGCGGGATACCAACTGTCCTATCCTACCCTCCAACTCGGTCGACGCACCTGGTTTTCCTGGGCAAAGCGTCGGTAGCTTGAGCCACCGTGTGTGGCGAAGAAAGGTAGGATGGTGTTTGATCAACTGCTCAAATGGTATCCATAGGATGATTCTCACAGGGGAGGTTTCATTCCATCCACGAGTTTGACTTCTTTACAAAGCCTTTGAGCCGTCTCCAGGTCCGCCAGGCCGCCTTGTGCGCCATCTTCGCATTCCCCGACATGCCCAGATCCAGCAGCGGGTCCATGGACTCCAGCGCGGGCGGCCGCCCATCAAAGCCCTGGTGGCGGGGCGGCACGGCGAAAATCGGGATGCGCGGCCGGCGACGGAGCTGACGAAGCGATAGCGGATCCAAAAGATCTGCCTTGCCGCTGAGAGAGCTTAGCTTTCTGAGGGCTCCTGGCATTGCTACTAGGAGCAAGGACGCTACTAGGAGCTAGTTGCTCCTAGTAGCAATGCCAGGAGCCCCTAGTAGCCTCCTTGTTCCTAGTAGCGATGCCTTTTGTTCATAGTAGCGATGCCACCGCTGAGAGAGCTTAGCGTTCACATCAAATGATCAAATGCTGCGAGAGATCCCCATGCGTCTCGTGTGTCGAGCGAACCCTACCTGCGGGCCTGCGGGGCCCAGCTCTACCTCTTCGAAAAATGGTCTACGGTCTACCCTCTTCTGCTCTTCAATCTACTCATATATCTACTCCAAACTCAGTACGGCTCAGTACCCAAGCATCCGCGAAACCACTGCAGGACCGGTCAGCGAAACACCAAGATTCTCCAACACCGAGCCACTTTTCCCTTCACCTTCCTTCCCAGTCCAAAGGACCAAAGACTAAGAAGGACCAAAGGGAAGCTGCTCTGCCCCCCCAAAAAAGAACAAAAGCCCACAACACCCAAAGCCCATCCAAACTCCAACCTCTACCGACTCCCCTACTCTGTGCTCCGTCTCCACCCTTCCTCTAAGCGAAAGCCCTCGCAGCTGCTATTGGTGATGCCATCCACCAGACTTTGCCGCAAGGCGGCCGCGCGGCTCTTGCCCTGCCACCCAACCTGCCCAACTCGCGGAGCGCGTCCGAGCCGTGAGGCCGGTCTTAGCCCGGAAGTAGGAAGAACAAAACACCTGGACAGGTCCTCCATGTCCCCCCATGTTCAGGCCCATCCCCCTCTCCGCACCCGGAATCACAGATCAAAAGGTCCATTTACCACGAAGCCCTCACGGCCTGGGCGGTCTTCTGCCCGATCTTGATGTCCAAGAAGCGGAACTTCACGGCGCCGCAGCGCAGGTTCCGCATCACCAAGAGCTCGGTCCTCCCGGCCGCGCGAGGATGGATCTCCACGTTCGGGGCCGAGCCATGTGCGTCCCAAACGGTTGGGGAACGACCATCGGTCTGGAAGATGAACCGGATGATGCATCTCGAATGAAAACCTTCTTGATTCAAAGGCTGGGGGGGGTTCGTGATCACACGTAAACCTACAAGCCAATCAAACGTTGTGACATCGTCCCGAAAGGGTGCTGGACTCAAATGACCCTCGTTTACAGTACATGCCCGATCGACCCGGGTGTTTTTTTCTCCGGACTTTGAAAGCTGTTGGAACACACCAGCACAATTGCCAAATTCCCAACTTCTCCAAGCTTTCCTCTGTGCTTGCTCTACCCTCTTGGGCCAATGTGGACAGTCACCGTCCAGCCCGACGCCTTCCTCCGCCCTTCCAGACTGCCGACTGCGGTCGACTGCGGTCCTCTTCTTTCCAGCGTTCGTCTCCTGAAAACAGGAGACGCGGAGGAAAGGGGTCTTAGTACCAGTGGACCACAGGGTGACCACAGGCTTGCCAAGGCTAAAGCTCGAATGTTTCATGATCGTGGAATGTTTCGTGATCTTCGTTTCAAGTCCTCGAGCTACAGTACTAAGTTGGCATTGACATCTTTCTCCAAGGACGCCCTTTCTGCTTGAAACGCCCTTTCGTTGGTGCCATGATTCGTGCTCCCAATCTTCTTCTTAGAACACCAGGTGTCCATCTTCGCTACTCAACAAGTTCAATTTGGCTGCCAAGCTATCAACCATTTCTGGCAACCGAAACCCAAACGGCTGGACAGATCGATCGGAACTGCCTCGGTGTGAGTGAGGACGCCCGCATATTCCAGAGTATAGCCCAGCAGTGGCCCCAGACCTCCAGGGTCTTTTTTTCCACTTCCATGTTTCTTGGAGGGTGCGGTACATCCGGTACATGCGGTACATCCAGTGTATTCTCGGCTTGGCCCAGGATGTCGTCCTGAACATCCGAAGATACCGGGAATGTCCCGGGCTGAAGAGTCGAGCGACCGCCCAACCCTTTGTGGATCCTCCATTCACCAGTCAGTGATCCGGTTCGTGATCTTTCGTGTCGCATGACCGAAAAAAACACGTGTTGGAGATCGGAGACCGCGAAAGACCTACCACTGGTGGAGCGGTGCTTATTTTTGATGATCGCCTTCTCATTGATTTACTAAACTGCGGTTCAGACACTTGTGTTTCTGTTTGTATCTTTTTCTTAGGTAACTACCCACGATTCATCACCACACATTGTGCCTCTCACTAGCGACACGCAGCATTCACACATCGCAAACCACATAGCACAGCGACATCCCTTTCGAAATCTTTAGTTGTTAGTCTGATGGACAGTCTTTCACCACTATGTTGAAAGGATGTCGTCGGATTTCGGAAGACGGAAGTGCTTTTTTCCATTGTTTCATACCACGTTTCATCGGTCGGATTGTTTCAGTTCCCATGGTTCGTTTGAAGGGCCACTTCTCTTCGGTGAAGCTCGGAGTGGCCCAGGTGTCCGGGGACCCCCAAGACGAACAATCACCAAAAGGACCGAGACGAGTCTTCTTATTTTTTGGAGGATGATGGGGTGGTTTTCGTGTTTTTTTTTTTTTTTCGGAGAAAGGAAGGGCTGCGGGAAGGGATGATCTCCAAGGCAGTTTCCGTTGGTGGCCGATTCGATGGCTCGCGAAGGTTCGACCTGCTGCACCACGCTGGCGCTGAAGTTGCAAGGCTTCCTCATAGAAGTTGACCTCATCCTCTGCATGGCTGAGGTCCTGAGGCAGCCAAAAAGTCGTCCAGTGGAGTTCAGTTGTCCAGGCCTCTTTGGGGCAGGAAAACTTCAGAAAAATGATCAAAACTGAGCTATATAGCTCCTATTCTGTGGGTTGGAGAATGATCTGCTCGTTCCCAGCAAAAAGTGCCTTCAATTGGCACACTCAAAAGAGCACACCCCTGTGGCCCACCATCCTGACAGTCAGCCTCGCTGGTAGCCACTGACCCCTGAATTAAGATTGAAAAAGCCGAACCAAACTGATCCCTTGATCAATGGAACAAAACCTTGGTTTTTGATCGGAGTTTTTGTTTTTGGAATGGAACCTTGCCTCGCACACCCAATGAAACTCGGGGTGGCTGGAGAGATAAAACGCGCAGACTCCCACGATGGCCAAGAAGAAACAGAGATCCGGGGATCGTAGAAATGACGTCATTGACATCATTCAAGGAAACAGTATATATAGGAACTTACTCAGCGACCATCAAAACTGTATGATTGGATACGCGTACGTGGATGTGTTTCTCCTGCAATCCATGTAGGTCTGGGCAAGATGTGTTTCGTCTAGGCCACTACTTGCTTCGCAAAAAGAAGATCTATGCCTCCTCACCTAAGCGTCCTTGCTCCTAGTAGCGATGCCCTTTGTTACTAGTAGCGTCCTTGTTCCTAGTAGTAAGGCCAGGAGCGCCCCTAGATGCCTCCTCACTCAGCGCCCTTGCCACTGCAGCCGAATCTCTTTGCCAATGAAATAGTCCATCGGCCGGCTCTGCGACTTCAACCGCAGCTTGAAGAAGGCCGCGCTCCCGCCGGACACGCCCAGCCGCTCGACGGAGTCCTCCAAAGGGTCAGAAGGGTCTGCAACTCTGTTGGAACACATTCCGCCCATGTTCTGAAGCCGATGGCAGTCCTGTGAATCCGATAGCAATCTTGTGCCAATGACCATGTTGTGAAGCATATGATATTCTTGACACACAGACGACGTTGTCAACACCCTCCGAACGCCCCTAGAACCCCCAGCCCCTAGAACCCCTTTCCCCATGTGATGACCCTGACCCTGACGATGACGATGACCATGCGATGTAAAACCGCTTTGCTTGACACACCGATTGATGACGTCATCGACACCGTTGTGGTCGGTGTGGGTCCGGCGAAGAAGCCCGGCTAGGAAGCCGCTGGCTGTTCGTGGTCAATCGTTGTCGAAAGGAACAAAGGCGAAGCATCCCTGTGGCCCATCCGTGGGGAAGGAGTTTGTGTAGAATGGTGCCTTCTACCTGGTAATCCTTGTGTAGAGTTTGTGTTCTTTTCTCCATCTGCAGGGACTCGGCAGGTCTTTTCAAGGACCTCTCACAACAAATGTTCCCAAGGCTCGACCTGCTGGTACTCCCCACCTACTGGTGCTTGGATCTTCATGGATCTTCTATCTTGCTCTGGAGTCTTTTGACATCTTGAAGACTCGCCAAGGCTCAGATTCTCACGAAATTCTCTGATGTCCTCGGATCACGTCTCTGCATGTCTTTCGGGATTCCTTTGTTTCTGTCTTAAAGACTCCAACCCACCAAGCTTCTTCGCCGCGCCTCGAAGAGCTCCTCGTCCACCCGGCTGAGGCTCTCTCCGCCTGCCACCGGCCGAACGGCGGGTGGCAGCTGCACCAGCAAGGCCTGGACGAAGATGTGCCCTGTGACCTGGCGACGAAAAACGTCACCGGAAAAAAAGAACGTCCACGACTTTTTGGGGCGACCTAACAAGAACACCAAGTTGGACGCCACTCGTTTTTGGTGCCACAACGAGTTGGGCAGCTGGCAGGGTTGGTTCCGAACCAGGCGACGGTCGGAAGCCTGCAGCAGAGGACATCGAGAGATGCCGAATTTCTTCAATGCGGTGTCTCTTCTGATTTCTTGTGAGTTATGTTCTTAAATGAAGCCCCAACAACAAATCCCAGAATCGTCCGCAAATAGACATCAAACAACCAACATTCTTCATCAATCCCAGGTCCCCGCCTCTTGTTCCAGCAGGAGCTCTAAGTCAATCACCTTGGTCGCAAGTGCACCAAATGGAGTGAAAACCAGGTGCAAACCCCCAGGTCTTCTCCCCAAGTGTGGAGCAGCCTTCATCTTCAGTGACCCAAAAACGGGGTTCTGCGCACATGCTTCTTAAATGGAGAAGAAGACCATCTCAAAACCACTCCTGGATGCTCCAGGTCGGGCCTTAAGAAACTCTAGCACTGCCAGATGTGGAATCTGGCATCAACTCCCACGCAGAAAATCGGATCGATCGATCGATCGATCGGTCTAGAATCTAGAGTGGATGTCCTTTCTTTTGAAATTGCCCTTCAAATGCCATCAACTGACCCCACTTTCGCATCAAGGCTAGTCGTTTGCCAGTCGTTGGCACATCAGTCGGAAGGCTAGTCGTTTCTCACAAAAAGGGAACGCTCTGCTCACAACTTCACTCTTTCGGGTGACCCCTGACCACCACTCCCCACCCGACAACACACGCCGCCACTGCGCCCTCCTCCCCGTCACCAACCGCGCAGCCGGGCCCGTGGAGGTGCCAACGATGGGTGCCGGGGTTTGGCCCTCCAGCAGCGGCACAAACGGCTGCGCCAAGCGCTGCAGCGAGGTCGTCGCCTTGCCACAGAAGGTCGGACGTGCCAAGACATTGCCCTCCATGACCTGCGAGACGGACCGCCGACCGGCGTCCGCGCTCTGCCACGCGGAGGCCGGCCGGTGTGGTTGGGGATGAAAAGGTTCACAAGAAAAACACACCAACAACGGTGATGCCTGTTGACTGACGTGAAGTTCACTTGAGGCCGCTTGCCCCGAGCCCCTCCACTTTTTGTTCGTGCCTGGAACTCCACCTGGGCCGAACTTCCCATTTTAAATGGCTGGCCCCGGCAGGTATGCTCAAAGTGGGGATGCTTATCCTCAGCACTTCAAAAAGATCATCTCATCCGAACAAACCATGAACCACAATCAAGGCACATCCAAGTAGCTTCCGTGCATGATTTCTTCAAATCCCCAACACATTGACCGCTGATGCATGTCGCGTTGATGCATGTCGATACTATTCTTTAAAAGTATTATATATAAACTGGCAAAGCCTCTGGTTAAAACACGCGTCTTTTCTAGGTTCTGGCATCGAGTTGACAGCATCCCCCGAAACAAAGCTGAAGGAAATGGATGTCCCAGTACCAAACGAGGGGTCTCCGCCCTGAGCGCTTTGAAATCTTGCACTAGTTCAATTGGACCTCGGTTCATGCAGAACCGAAGGGTTTCTTGAAACACGACGGCACAGGACCTCCACAAGGCTTTACAAGCTGAACGTTCCCAGGTGTCCAAGGCTCTGCATTCCAATCGATCCGTGTTCGAGCGATCTCTTTGCGAGCACCCGTCTCAACCAACTCCACCACGGTGTAGGGATCCATCTTGCCGTACGCATCAAAGCTCCTCTCTCCATCGCTCGGCGTCCGACCGACCAGCAACGTCCAAGTCCGGGAGATGTTCGACCGCCACCGGTGCCCGGTGCCATGCGCGCCGAATGCACCGAATCGCTCCTTCCTTGTAGCGCCGATGCCGATGCCGACATGTTGAGGTGGATAACATCCGCACCTGGACTTAAGACATCTTAAGACATCTTGGGACCCTTTAGAAGAGCGTGGCTCCATTGGCTCCCAATTCTGCTGGTACCTACCCCTGCCTGGTTTTTGAGGTGTCTTGTTTTAACCCGCTTGGGTTGGGAGTTTGAGGAGTGTAGATACCAACAAAGACTTCGTTACCATTGCTAAGTTCAAAGTCCCAAACTCCCCACTTCGCGGCTTTACGGCCCTCACCGCCAGTTTCACGTCCCGAAAAACACGTCGCCCCTTCCGTCCTCAGCAAATCCGCGCGCAAGACCTTCAACACCAAAAAGCATTCCTTGGAGCCCACCCTGTCGAGCCCGGCACTCCCAGCACCGACGCCAGTGTTTTCGGGTGTCTTTGCAGACTGGCTGCGATCGAAAAAGGAACCACGAAGCCCCTAACAAATCACCTGAAGATTTGGCAGTGTGATCTCCACCCACCAACTTTGTATTAGCATTGAGTACTAGCACCGGCGGTATTAGTGAAGTTCCTAAAATATGTTCCTAAGGAGCAACTCTAGCTGACCCATGCATGCTACAAAATATGCGTTCTATGCCATGCAGATTGTTGCAACTGCACGCAACGGCTAAGTTTACACCACCGAAACAGACAAGTGAATACAATATTTGATTCGTTCATAGAGAACCCTCCTCCTGAAGCATACGTATGGTCTTCGCAGGAATTGGGTAGGTTCTTCGATTCAACCAGCTCAAAGAGGGGTCCTCGAGGTTTTGAGTATAGATATATATATATATACATATGTTTTTTCTCGTGTCTTTTACACCTGCAATCTCTCTAGCCTTTTTGGCTGTTGAAAAGCGTCGGCAACGTTTGTTGCTCGGCTTGGTGACCACCACACTTCTTCTGGAGGGATTTGCTCGCCGCAAAACCGTCACCCTGATGGATTGCATGTGACTGGCACACCAAGCATGCCACCTTTCCGCCCTTTCGCCACAGTGAATGGCTGGGGTGTCCTTTCCAGCCTACCTGTGGTTCCCACACCTGGTTCCAGCAAGTGGACATTGCTAGATTGGTGAGCTTGTCTTGGGCTGAGTTTCGCAAAGTTCTCCCATTGCAACTGGTGCAAACCACATAGTGAGTCTGCAAAACAAACTTGTGGTTAGCCATGCCAGGTAGTTCCCCGGCAAGCATTTGTTGGATCAGCGTGGCTTTGGAGTGTTTGTTGTCTCCACCCTTCACTACCACCTCAATTGCTGCCTGACAATCTTCTTCATGGATCTGTTGAAGCACAGCGTACTTGAGGTGTTTGGTGACGCGCTTCTGACACTTGAGACATTGCAAACCCCTTTGCCTCTCTTGCCACTGATGCTTCTGAGGTCCGGACTGGTTGCCAATGTCAAGGAACAATTTCGACTTTCGTTCTTGAGCAAGTCGACGAGTTTCCTTGCCTTGTTGCCGAGCCTGGTGCAAGAAGTGGTCAGGGCTTTCCATGAGATGTCTGATCCTCTTGATTGCCAAGTGAGCAATCTTGACATACCTCTTGTCGGTGACCTTCAGCTCGGCTTCAAGCTCTTCAGGTCTCAAGGAGAGAGCTATTTCCTTGGCAACCTTGTTTGCATCCCTCATTCTGGCCTGGACTGTGAAAGGCCCAGGCGGCATGTCATTGACCTGCTTTCTTGTCAAACTGAGAGGTCGAATCCTGCTTCTTTGATCCGGTGTCACCAGACTGTTGAGGTCGTAGAAGCGCTCTTGGTGCTTCCCATTGACCCATGCCTCCCATGCTCTGATGGAGAGCACCTGCACTTTCACCTGCAGTTGCAGGTCAACATAGTGCGCTATCATCCTCAATCCATAGAACCAAGCTCTGTCCAGGGACTGGCGCCCCGGCAACACCGTTGTCACCGCTCCCTTTCGAAACAGTTGGCCATTGAAAGCCGTGTGGTGTACAATGGCCACCACATAGTGTTTGAGACGAGGGTCAGCGCTTGTCAAGCCGAACCCTATGGTGACCACTTCATGGCCAACCAGCTTGACCTCATCATGAATGGTCCAAGAGCCCCAGCTTTGGACCGCCGCACCACCAGTGGACAGCTCGTAGCGTGGCATCTGCATCAGGCCTTGTGACCAGAACTCCAAATTCAAGCCCTGCTCAATTTCCTTCTTGTCCTCGATGTCCATGGGCGCAAATGCACCAAAGAAGGTGAATCATCGTGGCCGCTTGGTGACAGTGCGGGCACATCAGGTGTTCTCATCGCGATCTGCACTTTTTGTGAAAATGGAGCCCTGATGCCAAGTTTGGAGTGCCACATTCTGACTTCTAGTCAGCTGGCGCGAGAGCCTTCTCCACGGAAGCCAATCCAATGGCTGCTGCAGTTCTTGTAGCATCTGCTTTTGATTGAGCTTCATGACCGTCTCCCATTTGTGTGCACGTTCCAGCTCTTGTTTGAGAAAGAACCAATCTGCACGCATGCTCAACTTAAACTCTGGTTCCCCATTTGGGCTTGGCTTTGTCCACTCATCCGGCTTGTCAATATTCCAGCCTCTCTCAAGGAGGTAGCATTGCAAGGCACCGACAGGGCCTTTGGCGTGCTGCCAAGGATACTTCACCTCTGTGAGTTTTGCCCTCTGGACATGCCAAGCTTTGGCAAGATCTTTGGCCAAGGTTTCAGGCCAGTTTCCATAGAAACGACGGTAGAGCCTCACCTGGTCTGCAAAGGCACCAAAATCTGGGTCTCGGTGTCTAGGATGCATGCTGAAGACAATGTCAATGCTTCCCGTACGATGGCACCCCATCTGACGCGCCATGGTAGCACGGATGCGTCGTCGGACTTGCGGAGCCAGACCCATGGCCTCATGGCCCCAGTTTATGCCAGCAAGAATGCTGCTCTTGTACAATTTGAAGCGAATAGCCCTGTTGGGGATCTTCAAACTGGTCATCTTGACCGTCTTCCTGCCAGCTTTCTTGCGCCGGGACCGCATTGTTTGGATGCGTCTGAGGCGCCCTGCTGCGCAGTCTATGCCCAAATCCCTCATCACATCATGAACCTTAGGTCCTCCTTCTGTGAGCTGCTGCTGCAAAATGCGCTTGGCCGTGGCATTAGAGACAATGAATCCAGTCTTTTGTGGGGAGACTTTCAAATTGTCCTTCTCCAATTCAGTTTTGACAAATTCATAAGCCGCGATGGCTATCCGGGCTGCATTCTGCGGGTTTCTGTCAACAACATCAAAACTGAAGTCATCTATCCAAAGGTCCGAATGTAGCTGAGGGTATTTTTTGTGGAACTCTCTGAGTGCTCTCTGCAAATAGACCTTGGCTGCAAGAGGTGCTTGAGGATCTCCAGCCAGGATGCCATGGGTAGCCCACAGCGGTTGGGATGCCTCCCCTTCAGCTTCCAGGATTCGTTGGCCGCTGTAGACCTGGATAGCCAGAGCTGCATGAGTTGCAGGGTAGGAAGAATCCAGCCATCGTTCCGTGAGTTTCACGAGGTCAATTCTGTCATAGAAATTTGACATGTCCAGCAAAACTGAGATCACCGTCCTGTTGTGTGCTGCATGGTGCTCGGTCATGAAAGCCCTCTTCAAGGCCACCTGCAGGCATTCTGTGCCTGGCACTGCTCGCTCCCATGGATACTCATCTTGGATGTTTCTGGACCATGATTTGGTTTGTTCACTGCGGACCCGACACCAAAGTCGATACAGCGTGGCAACTAAGGCGATGGGGCGTTCGATGACACTTGATTTTGGAATCAGCGCAATGAGCGCTGTCCCCCATTGGCTCGGGATCATGGCCTGTGTTTCAATGCTGTGAAAAAGCTCACGGAGATCTTTCATCGCAGCAAAAGGAAGGGCCTTCAACATGTCAAAACCAATGCCATCTAAGCCTGCCGCCTTGACACTGAGCGACTTGATCGTTTTCCATATGTGCCCTTCTGAAAGGAAAGGTAACTGTGAAGCTGCCTGTTGACCTTTGTTGATCAGTGCCTCCAAGTTTGCGATCAGCACCGGCCGGTCTTGAATTTGCCAAATCTCTCCCCATTGCTCAATTCTCTTGGGCATTCTCTCAAGTCTTGGCAGATGCTGGAAAGGCCG